GTGGTAACTAACCTGGGATTAAAATTACTGACTTTACACAGTCGGTGTACATAATTTAAATCCTTTTATATTCTCTTAGTTCATATCTACCAATTTTCCAAATCGTTTCACACAATTCCATCAACTACATTATTGTATATAACTTTCACAACTTTGCAGAATTCAAATTCATTTACTAATCAAAATTTGAACTTTAACATAGTGTTTTCTCTATCGAACTAACTTTCAACTGTTTATTTAAGTTTTCTTCTATTATCACCGTATAAACACACACACACACACATAATCACCGTGTCGTATAAAATTTTAAAAAAAAATCCAACTAACCTCAACTTCCAGTAGAGCTTTCAGGTTCTCTACCTGGAGTACACACAATAACAAACATCTTCAGCATTAAAAAAAACTTTAAGATCCAAATGTATCAGCAAAACTTAGGGTTTTAGGCCTGCTATTAAAATTATATATAAAAAATGGAAAAGGAGACTAATGAGAGTGAATTATACAGATTCATCACGATCGACATCGAGAGTGACGATTTGTTCGTCAGTTGTCATTACAGTGATCTTCATCTTCCACGATTCCAGTTAGGAACAGATGAACAGTTACTTGAAAGGACTTGGATGTCAATTCTCCGGCGCTGTTGTCGTTTCTTATTGCCGAAGAAATTTCGAACTCCGTTTTGTTATTCCCAATATCCAGCTTTTCGCTGGAGGGATGAATTTGAAGGACTGCGTGTACGATAGTCAAAACAGCTCATAAGTTATAATCGCATTCAGGAAATACGATTTATAAGTCGCAGTTAATAAATGCATAAGTCACATTCACTAATGGAGTCCGTATTTTTTGATATGTGTGACATAAATATGTATAAAACCATTCGATATATAACGCGCTTTTATACCGCGAGGTACGCTGTTATCTCTTTTAGTTGCACAGTTTGCATGTGACCCGATGATGGGTCCCACTATGGAAGTTGAATTAAATAGTGCAAATTTATTTAAACAAATTTATTTTAACCTAACATAGCATTAGTTAAAAGAATTTACTGCTTTTCTAAACAAACGTCATCATGCCATTTAAAAGTTGAGTTTAAGCGGGCGTTTGGACATAAAAATTATAATTTTAAAAAATAATATTTGGACTTAAGTCGAAAAATAATATTTAAATATACATTTTACTTGAAAAAATTTTTGTGGACAAATATGGCCTAAAGAATTTTTGTAGCAGAGTTGATTAGCTACCTTAATTTTCGTTTTATTTATGAGGGATCGATTGTTCATCTTGTCATCCCCTCCCTTATTTCTCCTTCCAGCAAAAAAAAATGAGTTTAAGAACTTTACTAGGGTGAATGAAATTGTTGTATCATTCAAAGGTAAAATTAAACTGAAGTCCTTTTGCATTTATTTATTTTTTATTATTTGCAGATTTTCCTTTCTTCGATAAATCAATAAAATGGGAGATAAACTGTTTTCTCTTAAAAGTCTATTATAGCTAAATATATTTATGTTAAACATAAATTAGTAGTCCTGGAAAACAGTGACGCTTTGAAAGAATAGATATATGATTGAAAAGAGATATGTATAACGCAGTCTTTAATAGCGCTATGTGTGAAAATACAAACACAACGTATAGCGCGGTATAAAACCGCGTTATATATAGAATGATCATTCTTTTTTTTTACATATATTTATGTCACACTTGTTCAAAAAGATCACAATTTGGTTCTGGACTCTTCACTAATGCTCATATAAGTCGCATTCACTAACACCCTACAGAAGTAACATTTCTGCAATACGCTTCAGAAGTAATATTTTTAACTACAGTTTATTAGTTTTATTTACTTCAAATAGCGTATTTTACTTTTTTTTTTTTGTATTTCTATATCTCTCACAAAAATTACATACTAATGAAATTTCAACCAAAATTACAGGAAAACTTCCCATACTCCTTCCCCGTACCC